TTTCAGCGACCCAGAAGGATGGTGAATCCATCGATAGTTTTATAACAGAACTAAAAGGATTATCCACATCATGTGAATTTGAATCACAAAAGGATAGTTTAATTAGGGATCGCATTGTGTATGGAATACAAGACAAGGCTTTGCAGGAACGCCTCTTAAGAGAGCCCAATTTAACTCTTCTCAAAGCCATTGGAATGTGCAAAACAGATGAAATAAGCAAGCAACAGATCAAGATCATGCAGAACAACCAGAACATCTGTCAAATAAGAAAATATGAAAAGAAACACAGTCCAAAACAAAATCAAGAATCTGAAAAAGAATTCAAATGCCAAAGGTGTGGGAAGTCTCACAGAGCAAAATATTGTCCTGCATGGGGTAAAAGATGCTCCAAATGCAAAAATATGAATCATTTTGCAGCTTTCTGTAAAGGTTCAGCTATCAGAAGTCTGAATGATGAAACAGAAGAAACTGTATGGTCAATACATGAAGCAAAAATAGTCCATACTTTGGAATGGAAAAAATCCATCATAGTGAATGGAAAGGAAATATGTTTCAAGTTGGACTCTGGAGCAGAAGTAAATGTTTTGCCATACACATTCACCAGACAAATGAAAGGTTTGGAAATATTTCAGACTAACCGAAAGCTAACATCATATACAGGACATTAAATCAAGATAAAAGGAATTGCCACACTAAATTGCAAAACTAAAAATAAGACGGAAAGTCTAGAATTTTTCATTGCTGATGGATACTATCAACCAATTTTAGGAATAGAAGCTATTGAAAAGCTTTCACTAATTAAGAAATGTGATGCTGTCCAAAAAGCAGAACAATTCAGCAAAAGAAATTTTGAACAGGCACAAAAATATATTTGAAGGCATAGGAAGACTGCCAATTGAACACAAGATTAGACTAAATGAAAATACAACTCCAGTTATTGCTCCAAGCAGAAAAATTCCTTTTTCCATTAGAGAAAAGGTTAAAGCAGAATTGGAAAGGATGGAAAAACTTGACATTATTGAAAAAGTTGAAGAACCAAGCGAATGGACACACCCTATTGTAGTGGTACAAAAACTTCTGGAGATGTCAGAATTTGCATGGACCCCAGGGAACTGAACAAGTATATTCAGAGAGAGCGCTATATTCTGCCAACAGCTGAAACAATATTTTCTGAACTGAAAGGTGCTACAGTTTTCTCTGTATTTGATGCATCATCAGCTTTCTGGCAAGTCCCATTAGACAAAGAAAGCACCAACCTGTGCACCATTGCGACTCCCTTTGGAAGATTCCGGTTCAAGCGACTTCCCTATGGATTGAACAGTGCATCGGAGGTATTTCAGCGATGCATAGACAATATTCTTTCAGGTCTCCAGGGAACTGCTTGCTATATGGATGACATCTTGATCTATGGAAGAACAACCGAAACCTTGAAACAGTTCTTCGAAGGTTGGAAGAAAATAATGTAAAGCTCAATGCCAAGAAGCAGCAGATAGCTGTCGACAAAGTAAATTTCTTAGGCCATATAATCAGTCGAGATGGAATAGCCATTCAAGCTTCAAGAGCAGAGGCAATACAAAAGTTGAAAAGACCTGAGAACAAGACTGAAGTCCAAAGATTCTTAGGTATGGTAACGTACCTTGGCAAATTCATTCCTAATCTTTCTGACAAGACTGCACCTCAAAGGAAATTGATAAGCAACAAGAGTGAATGGAAATTTGGAGGCGAAGAAAATGATTGCTTTGAAAAACTCAAGGATATGGTTTCGAATGCTCCAATATTGACATTTTTTGACCCAACCAAGCCAATCACCATTTCATCTTATGCAAGCCAATATGGTATTGGTACAGTGCTCATGCAAGGGGGACGTGCAATTGAGTTTGCGTCCTTCAGCCTGAATGCAACTCAAAGAAAATACGCACAGATAGAGAAAGAACTTTTGGCTATAGTCTTTGGATGTGAACGCTTCCAGTACTATATTTGGGGAAATGATGTTATTGTAGAAACTGACCACAAACCTTTCCTGAGTATTGTTAAGAAACCTTTAGAAAAGCTTTCCCCAAGACTGCAAAGAATGGTCTTACGTCTCATGAGATTTCAAATGTCTTTGAAGTTTACACCAGGGAAAAACATGTTTGTAGCTGACCATCTGTCTAGAGATCCATTAAAAGATGAGGTGGACACAAGCTATTTAGAAGGTCAAACTGAATCAGTGCACATGTTGCTGGTTACCACAGATGAAAAAATTAAGAGACTACAAAAGGAAACTCATGGGGACCACACCTTGATACAACTAATAGAGTATGCGAAGAATGGATGGCCGAAATATAAAACTAAGGTCTGTGATGAAGCAAAACCCTACTGGCAATTTCACGATGAAATTCATGTGAGTGACGGAATTGTTTACAAAGGAAATTGCATCATGGTGCCATCGACTCTTCGAAAAGAAATCCTGCAAGTTGTTCATTCATCACACCAGGGCATAGCAGCTTCCAAAGAAAAAGCAAGATCAGCATTTTACTGGCCCGGCATGATAACACAAGTAGAAAATGAAGTGGAAAAGTGCAGAACATGTCAGGAATATTCAAGAAAGAATCCTGAGGAGTCAAGAATAGCTCATGAAATCCCTGAATTTCCATGGGAAAAAATTGCTGTAGATTTCATGGAGGTGAGTGGAACCAGTTCCATCTTGGTTGTCGATTACCACTCAAAGTTTGTTGAAATCCGGAAATTATCAAGCAAAAAGAAACCGAAACCATTATGCAGTTGAAAACCATTTTCAGGACTCATGGAATTCCAAGAACTCTAGTTTCGGATAATGGACCCCCTTTTAACTCTACTGGATTCAAAAATTTTGCTCAGAAATATGAATTCAAACACCAACCCTCCAGTCCCAAATATCCTAGATCTAATGGACAAGTTGAGAGGACAATTCAAACCATCAAAGGACTGATAATTAAAGCTGTGAAGTCAGGAAGAGATCCCAATCTGGCTTTGATGGAGTTCAACAACACACCTAAGTATGACTTGCCATCTCCGACCCAAATGCTTATGGGAAGATCTGTGAGAACTCTTTCGACATACACCCGACAACAGTTGAAACCACTGTTTGACACAACAAAGAATTACCAAAAATTGAGAGACCATCAACAAAAGTATGCAGGAAGTCCAAAGAGAATTTTGAGACCTTTGGAAGTAGGAGACAACATCATGTTGCAGGAAAGGCATAGAAAATGGGTTCCGCCAACAGTGACCGCAAAGCATGAAACTCCACGCTCATATATGGTGAAAACACCAAGTGGGTCTGAATACCGCAGGAACAGGTCTCACCTTAGACCGAGAAAGTTCAGTGTAGAAGATTCTGCCCCAACAATTCAAAGTCCAAGCATTCCTGGATCTCAAGCAGGGACAGCCATTGATGACAACATACAAGATCATGGAAGACCCACTTCTGAAAACAGAAGAGCATATGATCCAAGGGAGGACGTTGCCAAGAAAGGTGAAGAATCATCTACTTCTCCTAGTGTGCGAACCCGCAGTGGTAGAACAGTGAGAAAACCTTTGCGTTATAGAGACTAGGAGAACTGCAATCCTTTATTTTTGTTTAAAGGAAACATGTTATGATTGAACTGACAAGTTGATCCGGCAACACGGCAGACTCGACTTGTAAACATTCTTAGATATATAACCATGTTATAAAAAGATAAGTTAATAAATAAAGAACTTAGTTCAGTTGCATTCTGCGTGATCAAATAGGCACAAAGAACAACATTAACAACAGTTGAGAGCTATCATTCTAGCTAGCACAGCATCAGCCGATCGATCGATGGAAACAGACAAAATGGGTGGATTTTTGGGTCTGTTAAAAAGTGGGGAGAATTTGGGAGTGTTTTGGGTCTGGGAATCATGGGAAGAAGGTGGGGTTGATCCAAAGTTTTAATTAAAGTTTTTATTAATTTTAAGTGTTCATTAAAATTTCGTTAAAAAGTATATCACTAATATTAAATTTTTATATAAGAGAAACGTTTTTATACTTAAATTACTATATATTGAAAGAAATCATAAAATGTAATATATTAGAAATTATAAAAATCTGGTCACAATGCAAGCCAAACATTACCAAAACTTTGAATTGTATGTAAACAAACAATTCGCTAAGTTAGGTTTCATTTAAGGATGACTATACACATTAAAACTGAAGATATTAACTGGTCTGAAACGGATAATCAAATTCAAATAAAATTACCAATTAAAAATGTCAATAAAAATAAAATTTCAATTATAATTACTTCCAAATACGTAAAGGTATATTTAATTTCAATGGCTTTTTGAAGCGAACCATGAAAAATATATAACTTTGCACACATACATTTAAAACAAGTGTTAAAAAAATCTTTAATACATTTCTCGATTCATATCTTATATATTAATGGTTTAATATACTAGGGGAAATATCGCGCCGATAATACCTTTAAATGCGTATGAAGAGTTATTAAATATTAAATTAGAATATATTGGGATAATCTCTCAAGGTTGTTCTTTGATACAAAACTGCGCGCTTGATTGGCCTGTTTCATTTTTAAGGTAGTGGGGTGATATACTGCCTCAAGAATTCTCTAAATGCATTGTTACTGAAAGCTCCATAAATTTTTTATTCTTGAGTTTCATTCCATTAATGTCTTCCAAACTTTTAACTCTTTTTAAATGCCCTTTCTTCACCATATCTATGACTGTCTGAACTTTGCCAAAGTGAGACTAAAATTGTTCCCTGATCTAATTGATTTAACTCTCTTACATCAGCCACTTTGTCTATATACATTTTATGAACTCTTTCAATTAATATATGTTTATTTGTAAATATTTAATTCTAATGTGAAAAAATAGTACAAATGTGATATTGTACTGTGATAAGGTATATGATATATTGCTGATGACTTGCACCATCTATCGGAATAAATATCAACTATGCGTTATTATAACTAATTTTGGAATTAAAAAAAAAGTGTCAGAAGTGGGATTTGAACTTGCGCCCACTGCCGTGGACCAGAACACCCAACTTCCTGCTACGGGATAAGTTACCTTGAGTCTAGTGCCTTAGACCACTCGGCCATTTGTGTCAGGATGGCCGAGTGGTCTAAGGCGCCAGACTCAAGATAACTTATCCCATAGTGGGAAGTTGGGTGTTCTGGTCCACGGCAGTAATTCTGGAATAATAAAAAACCAATGAATAGTTGATATTTATTCCGATAGATGGCGCAAGCCATCAGCAACTTTCAGTTGCATAATAAAGAGATGTCTTTTTTTTTCTTTCTTATTTAATAATAATTTGTTTTTTTTTGTTTGTTTCTTCTATAATAGACATAAATACTTCAATATTGAAAATTGTTGATTAATAAATAAATTAATTAAAAATTGCCTTTTCTAGACCCTTTCTCTTCCATGTAATAATTGCAATGTCATTGCATTTCTGACATTGTGGAGGTTCTTTCTACCAATGAACTTGCCATTTATTCCAGAGAATGCTTCTAAGATCAATATTAGACTATAAAAAAAATTGATGATAATCATGGACATTTTTGTCTGACTCCACTGTTTTTGAAATATCACACACTATTTATTTATATGAATTTTGTCTTATTACCTTGTTTTTATAATCTATAATCAAAATTGTGCTTTATCAAAATTCGATTCCAATTAAAATTCTGATATGGCAAAAAAAAATTATTTCTTTCTCTTTTATCTTCTTATCTCCACTCGATTATATCAAGGTATCAAGCTTGTAGAGTTTGAGACTTTTGATGGTGTCTGCCGGGGATGAGTAGAGCTACAATGGATGAGTCAATCCAGTCACAATGACAACCATCATGACTGGGTGAAGTAGAATGCGTCTGTTTTTATCATTAAGACTGGGAGCACTACCCCTGGGAGCAGGCCGACTTAGCTCTAAAAGAAATGGCCACCTCTGACATGAGGAACAAACGCCACGTGCAGCCGCTCCTAACATGGAGTACAGACTTACAGGGTACTATCAGCCGGGCCAGCTGAGCCCAAGTTTTTTAGTGAGCTTGTTACTGCTCCCCCTCCTTCTTTTCCATCCGGGCTTGGGACCAGCAAAAGCTCTTTTATGATATGGTTCAATGTATTCATAATTGTGGGTATAGGCATTGAAGTAAACATGGATTCAACTTCTAAAGATATAATTCTTTGATTTCCGTTTAGCTTCATGTCAATAATATCTTCCTTTTAAGTTATGGGAGTTATATATATAACAATTTCATTTTCATAAATCCACTGTTTTTTTTGTTTTGCTTATCCCTAGTACATATGGTACAGGCCATGATAATCATGGTGGGTATGATTGACGACTGCTTTTACTATAAATGCACCACATGTCTACACATGTGAAAAGCAGTTTGACTTTGCACTTACAAATGTGTCAGTTCCCTGTTGATTACTTGCACTCGATGGTGGGGTTGGACTTTTGCAAGAATCGGATGCCATTGGAACATTTTTTGAAAAAAACCAACTGGTAGATTTGTAATGCTAACCATTTTGCCAAGGCATATGTTGGTGAAGGTCTATTGTTTACTATTGGGCGTAATTGTATAGTTTGACTTGTGAACCTTTGATGCAACTCCGCCTTTGCCGGTCCCAAGCCCGGATGAAAAAGGAGGAGGGGGAGCAGTAACAAGCTCACTAAAAAACCTGGGCTCATCTGGCCCGGCTGATAGTACCCTGTAAAGGCTCCTAATCCAGGGATATAGGATGAGCAGCGTTTGTACTCCAAGTTAGGAGCGGCTGCACATGGCGTCTGCTCCTCATGTCAGAGGCGGCCATTTCTTTTAGAGCTAAGTCAGCCTGCCACTGAGTAGTGCTCCCAGTCTTAATGACAATGGCAGACGCATTTTACTTCACCCACCACCTTTGATGCAATATATACATTGAGAACATGTGTATCATTAAGTTTCCACCTGCTCAGCAAAGCCTATAAGGGAGAGATCTGTATCAAAAAAGAAATATTGGATATTATTTCAAAAAAAAGAAGAAATCTGCAAAAATCTTAATTCTAATGAAGCAGCATACATAATACAAGGTAATAAGATACATAATATTTAAAGTTACACACTAAAACAGAAATATAAATCAAAATATGTAATACAGTAGAACCTCCATGAGAAGACACTCCCTCTAGAGGACATCTCTCTACAAAGGACAGTTTTGATTTTTAAAATTACCATTTTTACTATTTAGCTACTCTCCGGTAAGAGGACACCTCTTATTAAAGGATACTTTGGCTCTGCAATTAGATGCCCTTTACAGGGAGGTTCTACTGTAACAAAATTTGGCAAAGGAATTGTTATTGTTTTAATGAGAAAATAGACTATGAAAAAAAAAAAAAATGCTTAACTCCACTGAATAGCCAATTGGCCTATAGTAATACAAGCTGCGTTTGGCAATATTGGACTAGGGTAGTCCAATATCACCAAACGCAGCTTGTATTACTATAGGCCAATTAGAAATTAAAGCTCTAAATTCATTTTAAAATGATGTTTATTATCCACTGAATAGCAATTGCACTTATTCTCCTATTTAAAATGATCCAACAAAATACTTTTTTAAAAAATGAATTCCACACTTAAAAACTGATGGACAAACAATTATTAATTATAGGGTTTTAAACAAGTTATCAGGGTATGTGTGTTGTAGGTGAACTACCAGCCATATTTCTGTGAGATTTTCCTAAAAGAGAAAGTCAAACCCGACCAGTGCTGGGCCCAAGTCGGAGAAGACATGGTTGCCCTCACTCTAGATAAAGATGTTTCTGGGATTTGGGAAACCTTAGTGGACCCCAAGATAATAGCAGGTGAGTTGACTGAATGACTTAGCTGACAACTCATTTATTTTTATTTTTTTTGCTTATCCCTAGTACACGTGGTACAGGCCATGATAATCATGGTGGGTAGAAGTAAGGCGACTGCTTCTACTGTAAGTGCACCACATGTCTACACATGTGAAAAGCAGTTTGACTTTGCACTTACAAATATGTCAGAGCCCCGTTTGGTTACTTGCACTCACTGGTAGGGTTGGACTTTTGCAATAATTGGGGGCCATTGGAGCATTTTTTTTTAAACATAAAAAAGTGCCCAATGCGGGAATCGAACCCGGGTCGTAGCGGTCGAAAACCAACGGTTTAGACCATCCTTCTACCAATCCCCCTCTTGTTTATGGAGATAAGCAGTTTAGGAGGTATAGTCAGTCAGAGATTTTCCAAACCTTCATTACTTTCTAAACTTTACTCTATAGATATCAGAAATAGAGATCAAGCAGGAATCAACATTGTCTCTATTCGTTATGCAGTGGAACCTCCCTGTAAAGGACACCTGATTGCAAAGCCAAAGTGTCTTTTAGGGAGAGGTTTCCTCTTACCAGAGAGTTACTAAATACTAAATATGGTAATTTTGCAAATGAAAACTGTCCTTTGTAGAGAGGTGTCCACTAGCAGGGGAGGTTCTACTGTACTTGTAACTTCAAGCATACATAATACCTTATGAAAGTCTTTCAACCATTTATAGTCATTCATTCTATTTTTTTTTTCCTTGTAATAATTTCCAACACAGTAAGCCATCTCTGTGAAAATTACTAAATCAATTAGAATGACTGCAGATGACTAACTTCTAAAAACCTTAAATGGTTGATGAAGGGTGTCATGTTGAACATGGCCTTGTGTGAGCCTGAATTGTTATATTCAATACTTCCTTGTATTGTTGAGCAAACACTATTGATTGTCTTCCTGAAATACTCTTCTTCTTTCTTATCTCCATTCAATCATATTAGGGTATCAAGCTTGTTTATCCCTAGTACAACGTGGTACAGGCCATGATAATCATGGTGGGTAGTTAGCGACTGCTTTTTACTGTAAGCGCACCACATGTCTACACATGTGAAAGCAGTTCGACTTTGCACTTACAAGAATCGGGGGGCCATTGGAGCATTTTTTTTTTTTTTTTTTTTTAAACAGAAAAAAGTGTCCAATGCGGGGATCGAACCCGGGTCGTAGTGGTCGTAAACCAAACGGTTTAACCAGAGACTCAATGGATGAGTCAATACAGTCAATAATGTTTTGGGGTTGCAGGTTGACACTTAGTACATAGTGGGAAAACCCTGCAACCATTCTGGAAAGCCATTGCCCATATAGATGACCAGACTTAAGTCTGGAAATCAAAGAATGTTGTTCTCTTGGGAGGACAGAACCAGTGCTTGTCCCTCCTGCTCTGTAGCAGTCATGTGCAGCATTAGATTTCCATTCCTGCAGGCATTGGGTTTTGATGGTACAGAGAAGGACTCTTTCATCTAGTTGGGTGGTAGAATCCCTGGCTTCAGGTAGGCCAAGAGCTCCAGACTTCCACAAATACTTTTTTATATAAGTGCATAACTCTTTTGCAAATAAAGAAAAACCTAAACTTTAATTTAAAAAATCATAATATTTTAAATAAATAAATTCTTTATTCATCTAGGCTAGAATTCTATTCAGTGTTCATTCTAGATGATCAATCAACAAAAGGCATGGATGTCTTTCTTCCTCTCCAAGTTATTTCTAATAGAAGACATTTTACTTTCTAAGACACCTCATTGTTCATGTCAGTGACTAGTGGCTCTTAAGTTAGTTGTTTTTTTAAATGCTCCAATGGCCCTTGATTCTTGCAAAAGCCCAACCCCACCAGCAAGTGCAATTAACCAAATGGGGCTCTGGCACATTTGTAAGTGCAAAGTCGAACAACTTTTCACATGTGTAGACATGTGGTGCACTTACAGTAAAAGCAGTCGCCTACTTCTACCCACCATGATTATCATGGTCTGTACCACATGTACTAGGGATAAGCATCAATATACATCTCTTTCTTTGCATGGCTTATAACTAGGGATGGTAACAATTTGTAAAATGGTTCAGAGAATTCACAGCCATGCTTAAATCTTGCTGAAAACTCAATGAGGTATTATGCTAAAAATATGCCTCGTAGTTTGCCTCACCTTTTTGCCAATTGTCATGAATTATAGCAAAATTCCTTCACTCTTTCCTTGAACCTTTTATGAAAAATTCCTCTTCTTCTTCTTTCTTATCTCCACT